TGCCCCAAATCCCATCAGTGCCCCAAGAACCACCTGTGCCCCAAATCCCATCCCTGCCCCATATCCCACCCGTGCCCCAAATCCTATCCATGCCCCATATCCCACTCATGCCCCATGTCCCACCCGTGCCCCAAATCCCATCCGTGCCCCAAATCCCATCCATGCCCCATATCCCACCTTGTCCCTTCCCCAGGGCATCAAAGGTGAGCGAGGCTACGTGGGTCCCCCCGGAGAGAAAGGGGAGCTGGTGAGTCCCCCAGGGCCCCACTCCAGGGGCAGTGGGGCCGGGGGCTCCCCCAGGTGCACCCTCTTTGTGGGCACCAGGTTTGGGATCCTTCCAGCCACATCCATCTGATCCCATTCCCGTCCTTCCCAGGGACCCCCTGGCGCAGATGGGCTGCCCGGTTCCATGGGGCCAGCGGTAGGTGCCCACCCTGGGGGCTATGGGGACAGAGGGGGGTGGCTGTGGGTGCTGTGGGGCGCTCCCCCCACCTCATCCTGTCTCTCCGCAGGGTCCCAGGGGTGAGCGTGGGCTCCCGGGAAGCGCTGGAGAGAAGGGGGACCAGGTGAGTGTCCCCAAAAGGGACAAGACCCCCCAGGACCGCCCCCCCCATGGGGCAGGGTGTGGCTCTGGGGTCCAGCTCAGCTCTTTTCTCTCCACAGGGTTTCCAGGGCCAGCCTGGCTTCCCGGGACCACCCGTAAGTAAATCCCACTGGGAATTTTAATTACATCCCGCTGGGAACCCCAGCACAGTGGGGCGTCCCTGGGAGATGGTGCCTGTTCCTGGCTGTGTCCCAGTGTCCCCACAGCGCCAGGGATGGGGACAGGGGGTTCTACAAGTGGGGCACGAGTGGGATGAGGTGCAGAGAGCAACCCCAGATCAATCCTGTTCAAATAAACCGGGAAAGAGCAGGATTTATGGGCTGGGCTCTTCTGCGGAGTCCTCCCTTCACTCACACCCCTCTTCTCTTTAGGGTCCTCCTGGTTTCCCAGGAAAGGTTGGTCCAGCCGGGCCACCAGGGCCTGTGGCCGAGAAGGTGAGTGACGGGGACAGGTGTCACCGGGCAGTGGCTCTGTGGTGTCCCTGGGGCTGTGGCTGGCTTTGGTGCCCGGCCCCTGCTGTGCCTGTGACCTCCTGTGGCTCCTGCAGGGCAGTGAGGGCGTGCGAGGCCCCACGGGAATGCCAGGACCCCCCGGGCCCCCCGGACCCCCGGGAATCCAGGTCAGACCCCCTCCATGTGTCACCCTTGGGTGTTCCTGGGAGCACCACTGGCTGTTCCCATTCCCAGGGACCTGTTCCCATTCCCAGGGATCTGTTCCCATTCCCAGGGATCTGTTCCCCTTCCCAGGGATCTGTTCCCATTCCCAGGGATCTGTTCCCCTTCCCAGGGACCTGTTCCCATTCCCAGGGATCTGTTCCCCTTCCCAGGGACCTGTTCCCATTCCCAGGGATCTGTTCCCATTCCCAGGGACCTGTTCCCATTCCCAGGGATCTGTTCCCTTCCCCAGGGATCTGTTCCCATTCCCAGGGATCTGTTCCCATTCCCCAGGGATCTGTTCCCATTCCCAGAGACCTGTTCCCATTCCCAGGGATCTGTTCCCCTTCCCAGGGATCTGTTCCCCTTCCCAGGGATCTGTTCCCATTCCCAGGGACCTCTAGAGCTCCCCAATGCAAACCTTCCTCTGACACTGTCACCTTGTCCCCGCAGGGCCCTGCTGGCTTGGAAGGACTGGATGGCAAGGATGGGAAGCCAGGGCTGAGGGTGAGGCTCCGGAGCTCTCCAGATTCTGGTAGGGGGCAGCCACCCTGCAACCCCCCCCCAGGACACCCCCAACCCTTTCTCTTTCTCCCCAGGGTGATCCTGGTCCCCCCGGGCCACCAGGGATGATGGGTCCTCCGGTGAGTGACAGCCCTCCTTGTCACCCCTCCCTAATCCTCTGTGCCTGGCACGTCCCTGTCGCCAAGATCGGGCTCCCCTGAGCCGGGACTGTCCCACCACGTGCTCCTGGGGACACTGAGCTGCGGGTGGTGGCCCTGGACTGGCACTGCAGGGTCAGGATCACCTGCTGTGCTCTGCTGGCACCCCCACCCAGCAGCTCTTTTCTCTCTCCAGGGCTTCAAGGGCAAGACAGGACACCCAGGGCTCCCGGGACCGAAGGTGAGCGGTGGTGGCACTAGGTGGTGGTGACACCCCCAGGGACCACAGGCATGGCCTGAGAACCTCTCATTGCTCTACCCGTGATGTCCGTTCCTCCTTTTAGGGTGACTGCGGCAAACCCGGCCCCCCGGGCAGCACGGGCCGGCCGGGAGCGGAGGTGAGCGAGGGCTGGCTGAGCCCTGGGCACGTTGGGCGCTTGTCACCGGTCTGCCTTCATTGTCACCACCCCCTCTTCTCCTCCTCACTTGCCTTCCTCAGGGCGACCCCGGACCCATGGGACCCCAAGGTCGGCAGGGACCCCCAGGGCTCATCGTAAGTTGGAGCTGCCCCCCAATGAAGGGGGATCACAGCGGGAGCTCCCTCTGGCTCAGGGAATGGGGACATCAAGTGTGACCCCCCTGTCTGTGTCCCCAGGGACCCCCCGGCAACCCGGGACAGCCGGGTCCCGCTGGCCTCGCTGGAGTGGTGAGTACCGCCAGGGCTGGAGGCCTCGCTCTGGGATTTGGGGTCGGGATGAGCAGGTTTGGGATCCCCCATTCCTGCCCGCACTGATCCCGGCTCTCTCCTCCTCGCAGGGGCTGAAGGGCGAGCGAGGCTCCGTGGGGGAGCGGGGTCTGCCGGGAATGCCAGGACAGCCGGGACCCCCGGGACACCCGGGACCACCGGTGAGTGCAGCAGGGCACGGACCGTGCACTGGGGACATTGGGGGTGGCCACACGGTGTCACCACCTCATGCTGTCCCTCTTGGACCTCGCAGGGAGAGCAGGGACCGGACGGACCCGTTGGGAAAGAGGTAGGAGCAGGGTTCTCTGGAGCTTTGCTGGACACAGGGATGGATGGGTGGGGACATCCCTGTCACCTTGTTCCTGTTTTCCAGGGACCCCCAGGGAAACCGGGCATTGCGGGCCCAGCCGGCCAGAAGGTGAGGGGAGCCTGGCTGTGCCACCACGGCCACCTCGGTGTCCCACAGTTGTCCCTGCACCCCAGAGCTGAGCCTTTCCCGTCCGCAGGGTGACGCTGGGTCCCCCGGCGAGAGGGGCTACCCCGGGGAGAAGGGCAGAGCCGGAATGCCCGGGGGTCCCGGGAAAAGCGGCTCCATGGGGCCTGTGGGGCCACGGGGACCCGCGGGAGAGAGGGGACCCCCGGGCTCCCCGGGCCCCGCGGGCAGTGCCGGGCTGCCGGGACCCCCAGGGATGATGGTAAGAACGCGTGGCCGTGTCGGGGGGCAGGAGCCTGTCCCTGTGAGGGGCGCGGTGGCCGTGGCCCCTGGCGTGTCCCCTCGTGTCCCTGCAGGGAGATGTCAACTACGACGAGATCAAGAGGTTCATCCGGCAAGAGCTGAACAAGATGTTTGACGGTAACGGGGGATTGGGGACGAGTTCCGGGGACCCTCCCCGTGTCCCCGCGGGCTCTGAGCTCGGTCCCTGTCCCCGCAGAGCGGATGGCGTATTACACCTCGCGGCTGCACTTCCCGGTGGAG